TGGCAGGTGCTGAGCAGACAATGGGGACCCCTCACCAGCCACAGGCCCTGATATGCAAAGCCATGACCAGAATGATTAGCGTTTACTTTGGGGGATTTTCCACTTTTAACAAAAAATACTTTTAGGTATTTTTCCTACTTAGTTTGTTTTTATTCTGCTAATTAGCATGCCTCAGGGCTCCCAAGTTTCTTGGTCCTTTTGATTTGTAACAAACATTCATTTCCTGCACTGCACACAAGTTTATTTTGCAATGTTATTTAATCTATTTAATTCCTACTAATACTGTTCTTTACACAATTTCTGGCTATATTTTTGAATAACATTTGGATTAATTATCTTGGCTTTTCCTGTTCAATTAAACATGGTGGGTTTGTGGAGAGAGCATGAGTCTTAAAATAAGTCTCTTTCTAGAGTATCCCCATAAGGAGTACGGAGACGTTACAATTCAATCAGCACAAGTGATAAGGTTTGTTGTGGTTGTTGTTTGTTTGTTTTTTTTAGTACAGGGTCTCTCTACATAGATCGGACTCACAGTAATGCTCCTGTTTTCAGCCTCCTAAATGCTGAGATTATAGGCATGTGCCACCATGCCCAGTCTCACAAGTGATAAGCTAAGTGGGTTTTGTGTGTGTGTGTGTGGAGCCGGGAATTGAATTCAGGACCCTGCGCTTGCCAGGCAAGCACTTATTCTACTATTTTAGTGTGTCTGTGGGGAATGCTTCATATTTTCATATAATATAAATTGAATGCAGTAAAGTTCTTTCTCATGTAAGATAGATCCTATAACAAATCAAGCAAAAACATTAAAAAAGAATAGCATATCTTATCCTGCTTTGGGGGAGGGGTGTCAGGGAGAGGGATCGATCCCAGGGCCCTGCTCGTGCTAAGCAAACACCATGACCTCCATGCCCAGGCTATTCAGATCCTTTTAAAAATCTCATTCCTACGCTCTCACAGCCATTGCAGTACATTGAGCTCCATAGAGACAGCGCCGGGGCAAGTGAGAGCCAGACGGGCACTGGGCGACTCTGTACCTCGCTGAGGAAAACAAGTAAACATGGGCAAAGGAGATCCTAAGAAGCCGAGAGGCAAGATGTCATCATATGCATTCTTTGTGCAAACTTGCCGAGAGGAGCACAAGAAGAAGCACCCAGATGCTTCCGTTAACTTCTCAGAGTTTTCTAAGAAGTGCTCAGAGAGGTGGAAGACCATGTCTGCTAAAGAAAAAGGAAAATTTGAAGATATGGCAAAGGCGGACAAGGCTCGTTATGAAAGAGAAATGAAAACTTATATTCCTCCTAAAGGAGAAACAAAAAAGAAGTTCAAGGATCCCAATGCGCCCAAGAGGCCTCCTTCGGCTTTCTTCTTGTTCTGTTCTGAGTATCGCCCAAAAATCAAAGGAGAACATCCTGGCCTCTCCATTGGTGATGTTGCAAAGAAACTTGGAGAAATGTGGAATAATACTGCAGCAGATGACAAGCAGCCATATGAGAAGAAGGCTGCTAAGCTGAAGGAGAAGTATGAAAAGGACATCGCTGCCTACCGGGCTAAAGGAAAACCTGATGCAGCAAAAAAGGGAGTCGTGAAGGCTGAAAAAAGCAAGAAAAAGAAGGAAGAGGAGGAGGATGAGGAAGATGAGGATGAAGAGGAAGAAGAAGATGAAGAAGAGGATGAGGAGGATGAAGAAGAGGATGATGATGAATAAGTTGGTTCTAGCGCAGTTTTTTTTTCTTGTCTATAAAGCATTTAACCCCCCTGTACACAACTCACTCCTTTTGAAGAAAAAAAAAATTGAAATGTAAGGCTGTGTAAGATTTGTTTTTAAACTGTACAGTGTCTTTTTTTTGTATAGTTAACACACTACCGAATGTGTCTTTAGATAGCCCTGTCCTGGTGGTATTTTCAATAGCCACTAACCTTGCCTGGTACAGTATGGGGGTTGTAAATTGACATGGAAATTTAAAGCAGGTTCTTGTTGGTGCACAGCACAAATTAGTTATATATGGGGACGGTAGTTTTTCATCTTCAGTTGTCTCTGATGCAGCTTATATGAAATAATTGTTGTTCTGTTAACTGAATACCACTCTGTAATTGCAAAAAAAGTTGCAACTGTTTTGTTGACATTCTGAATGCTTCTAAGTAAATACAATTTTTTTATTAAAAAAAAATAAATAAAATAAAAAAAAATAAAAATCTCATTCCTACAAATTGTGTCAAGCTAAGTTCTTTAATCATGTATAATTTCTGGAAGAAAACATAAGCTAATTATGTTGTGATTTCCTGGATTACCTTAGAGCTACTGCAACATACTAAACATGGTTAAAAGCATCATAGCACTGAGACTGACAGCCAGGACCTGGGAGAAAATTCCTCTGGGGTGGAGATGGGAAGCAAAGAAACTTCTTGGAGACGCTATAGGTTGGGAAGACAAACATCTCAAAATTAAGTAGCTGCTGGAAACCCAGAAGAAAAGGAACGAGCTGACCAGCGGCAGAGCAGTGAAAGTGACCCAGAGTAGCCTGTGGCTACCAAGGAGCACAGCTGTAGCAGGAAGACCCTGAGAGAAAAAGAGGAATGTGCTGAGGAGATGCAGGTGAGCTGGCCCCAAGCAGAGCACGTTGCGATGGTAGGTTTCCATATCTACAGGCGATGGCAGGATACCCAGCCTATGTGGCCATGCTTCTTCAGGGCGCCAGAATGCTGGGAGATGGGATGGCTCAGAACCAAGGCCACGGCATAAATGTGAACTGGAGCTGACCCGATTATCAACCCAAATCAGAGTGGCAGTTGTGGCAAGTAAAGAAACGCACCTTACCCCTCCAGGCTGCATCTCTCCTTGTCTGGGTCCCCTTAGCATGCTATCCAAGGCACAGCCCACTGCCTGAGTGTGCTCGCTGCCACTGCAGCTGAATCTGACCCAAGGAGGGACACTGGGCAGCAGGAAAGGGCAAAGATGGGGACAGATCCTGGAGAAAGGGCTGGGGAGGCAGCAGAAGGCAGGGTACTGTTAGCTTGGTGCTGTCCCAGCTGGTTCTATTACTGGTCACTTACTTCCCATAGGAGCCTCAGTTTGTGACAGAACTGAGCACTCACACGCACACCACTGAGAGGCCTGGTTCAGCAGCGCAGCCCCGGCCAACAGCTTGCCTACCATCTCCCTTTGGGACAGGCGGCACACATACCAAAGAAGGGCCCTGTATTCTTGGGTCTGTTATTAGATATGGAGCTTCTTTTCTTGCCTGCTGTCTCTGGGACATGTTTTTACCTTTCAGCTGTGTGGCTTTCCTTGGGGTACAAGGTCACCCACCAACCAAGTACCCACTTGGAGAATCTGCCTCCTATCTAGATCAGTCTGTGATAGGTGAAGAGAGCTCCGTGGAGGAATCCACTAGATGAGAAACAACTTTGGGAAGCAGAGCCAGCCAGCCTCATGTCACAGACAAACAGCAAGCAGTTCCTCTGGTCCCCAGATCCTTCTCAAGCCAAGCACCGTGGCACATGTCTATAATCCCTGCACTCTGGGAGGCTTGGGTAGGAGGACTACAAGTTCAAGCTCGACCTGGGAAACTTAGCAATTCTGTCTCAAAATAAATATAAAAACAAGGGGCTGGTGAGATAGCTCAGCTGAATAAACGCTGGCCTGGCAAATGCAAGGGCCTGAGTTCAATACCCAGTTCCGAAAAAAAAAAAAAAAAGATAAAATAAAAATGAAAAATAAAAACAAGCTGGGAATACAGGTAAAAGGCCTCAGTGGTAGAAGGCTGCTTGGCTCAAAATACCCAGTACCACATACACAAACACACAAAATGAAATAAAAAGAGATCCCTCATGTGTCCTGAGGCCCTTAATTTTTCTGAGGCAATGAGCTTTCACTCCACCCAGAGGAAGGACCCTCGGAGGCAAAACTCCAGATTTGTAGACTCAAACAATGAGCACAGATTCCTTTGCTGAGAGCAAACCCTGTAATCCAGGAGTCAGAGACCTAAGTACTGGGTGTCAGGTCTCCCACTACCTTTTAAAACCTGCATTTACTAAGGTCAAGACCCCTGGAAACAAATAGCACCTTTACTTGAGGGTTTACATGCCCTAAATAGAAACCTGCGCTCCTGCCTGGGGAAACCAAATGCATCTCTAAAGAGTAAGTTCGCACCCTCTTGCCCCAGGTGATCGCAAACACTGGCCCTCCTCGAAGCCCAGCAAGCCCAGCGCCCCTCCAGCCTAGAGGGGAGGGTACACTCCACCTAAACAGGAGTCAACCATAGGAAAGCTGCCCAGCTGACTGCGCCTGTCAGAAGATGACTGGAAGCTCACCCCCATTTTTCCTCCAGGGATTTAAGAGAAGGCAGGAGTTTTGGGGGATTTTCAGAGAAAGTATGGAAACTGCGTTGTTGTAGGCTTGAGTTGTGCCAAACAAACGTCCTTGATGTCAAAGGACCTCTGGCCTACAAAGAGCTAAGGAACAAAAGAAACTTGCTAGTGTCCTGGCAGGGCGTGCGCCCTAGAAACAAAGGTATTGCTGCCAAATCAAGCCAGAGTTTCAGAGATTCTCCGGAAAGCCAGTGGGTGAGGCCTTCCCGCTTCCCTGCGGGACCTCCTGGCCCTGGGTTCCTCGATCACATCCACCTCCCTGGCCCTTCTCTGTCCCCGGCCTCTTACTTCTCATAAGCAGCCTTTTCTGTGCATGCCAAGGGTGAGTGAGGCTGTTGGCAGGTGGGAACTCAAGGCTGACCACATTCTTCTGTTGTGGCCCTGACCTTCAACTTGAGGAGATGTCCCACATCTAGTCAGCTGCATTTGTGTGGGGAGAGGTACTCTGCCCTGTTTCCGGGGATCCCAAAGCAGGACCTGCACTTTTCCTTCAGCTCTGCCTCCCCAGCCCATCAGCCCAGCCAAGCCTCCATGGATTCCCACACAAGAATGCAAGGAGAGGCAGCCCTGTGCCAACGGAGACAGGTCAGTGGCCCCAGAAGATGGAGGCCTGGCCTCACAGTATCACCCACCTTCTCGGCTATGAGGAAGTCATAGCGAAGGGACTCTCGCGTGCAAATGGCGCCGAGCAGGAAGGTAAAGATGATGTACAAAAACCACCTGTAAAACCCAAGCACAGAGTAGAGCTTCTACCTGCCCTGGTCCGCCCCAAGCCCATCCCTCAGCTTTTTGTTTCCAAGGGAAGCTGTCTCAAAATGATCCTGAAGCCTGGGCAGGAAGGCTTCCAGCTGGACTGGGAGGACACTGCTTGTACCGTTTCTCTTCTGCATGGTTCTTACCAAAAGGAAAAAGGGCAGAAGGGCAGAGCAGCAGCCCGGCGCTGCCTCAAGATGCTCTGAGGGTGTGCGCCAGCCCATGGTCCTGGGGGGTCTTTCAGCTCCTGCCTGGGCAGTGAGAGGACGACCAGGCTCCCCCAGGCTCCCAGCTGTGATCAAAACCCAGCCCAGGCTTTCAAGTTCTACCTTTTTTTCCTCCTAATACTCAATTCTATCTCTGTTGCCTTTATTTTCATTTTAGACGAAATGGCTTTTGCTCTGTTGGTAGCAACGGTGTCACTGCATAAGCTGAGAGCAAACCTGGTCTTTATGTAATAGATCTACCATTTTTTAAGGCGTACATGTAAAACAACACAGGCACTTCTAATTTCTCAAGTCACAGTCATGTCTAAGAGCTCACTGCCTTGCCCCACCTACCCAATGAAGGGCAGAGAAGCTTCCTTCCTCCTATGGTATGAAACAAAACCAGATTCTCTAAGGTCAGAAACAAACCAAAGACACCCAGTCTGCTGGTGTGGGTAGCATAGTATGACCTGAAGCCCCAGAGGCCTGACAGCTGTGCAGGAATCCAGGGTAGGGCTGGCCTCTGGCTTTTACATGGGTCATTATCCCCATTTTCTAGAAAAGGAAGTGAAAGCTCTGAGAGCCAAGAGAACTGTCCCCAAGTCACCCAATCAGCTGCGGAGCTGGGATGCAAATCCTCCCCCCACCTCTACCAGTCCCCCTCCCCCCACTCCCCATCCCTGTTTGATTGCAAAACTCTTCATCTGTATGCTCCCACCAACTGCCCCCACCATAGAAGTCAACAGCTTTAAAAAACTCCCCAAGTTCAAAATGAGGGTGAAGAAGGGACGGGGAGTGGGAGGCTGAGGAAGAAGGAAAGAAAAGCCCTGGTCTGTGATCTGCATTAACGACACTCCTCCTTGCAGAGTTCCCAGGCGGGAAGTATGAAAGGGCAGTGTCTGAGCCCACCAGACAGGAATTTTCCAGCCCGCCGCATGTTAAAAGAAGAATCCGAATATGAAGGAGGTCAGGCACAGTCAGGGCACTCTCTGAACAAAAGGGGCAAGCCTTTCTTTTGCCTGAATTTTTCTCCCCTACTCTTCAGTGCAGGCCGAGGGGACTTACGAAATGCCAATGGCTGCCAGGGAGCCCAGGGGGATGCTGGTCGCAGGCTCCCGGAGGTCGCCGCCCATGTTGAAGCCTGCCATGACTCCTGAAAGACACCCAGAGGGAGGCCAGGGTGAGTAGGGTGCTCCTGAGTCCCCTCCCCCACCCACCCTTCCCCCAAGCCAAACTTTCTCTCCTCCAGGCCTCTCCTGGAAGTGTCCCCTCACAGCCCTCCCTCTGCAGCTCTGGATTCAGGCCTTTTCACAGCTCCCCTGGCAACTGAGGAGGCATCTGCATGGCCTTGAAAGGGAGCTTTGTGGGTTGGGGGACGCTTAGGGGGAAACTCTCCCAGCTAAGGAGCAGCTCATCACCCTGTGCAGAGTTTAGAGGGCGGGAGGAGGTGACTATAAACCACACAAGGTCCCCCTAGGCCTGCTGAGCTCTGCCTTCCCAATGGGGACAATGCCCAGAGTAGCTCAGCATTACTAGCAGACATTCAGCCTGCTGAGCCGATGTCCTTGCATCTACTGCCTACTAACTACACGGGGACTTCGAGTCCTCAGCGTCAGGAACCATGTCCAGCAGGATCTGACACCTTGTTGAAAGCCCCTGAGCTATCAAAGGGCACTGAGCAAACTTTAAAAAAAAAATTATTGATGTAGCCAAGGCTGTATCACTTCTAGTCCCCAAGAACACTAAAGAAAATGAATAAATCCATTGAGGCAAGGGACCAACAGCACAGTGGGGAGGACGGATGGTCCTCTCCACACCGTGGAAATGTGCAGAAGTGACAAAACAGTGGTCTCTGAACTTGGAATGAAGGGCCAGCCTGCAAGGGCACTAACAATTCGTATCAAGCCTGGGAAGAGGGCTTTGAATGTGCTCAGTCATCAAAATGGGCCAAACAGCATCATTATGGATTTATGGGCACTTTCACCTGGACAGGGCCTGTGCTAAGGGCCATCTACCCATCTTCTTTAATTCTTACAACATCAGAAAAGTAGAATTAACTCCCCACTTTATAGAAAGTACTCAGAGGCTCATTAAAACAACCAAAGATCCCACATTTAGCAAGCAGCAAAGCTACCGTTCAATGCTGGTCTATCTGACTCCAAAAGTCTGTTTTTAACGCTGCCGTTGCTCTAAGGCTTCAGGGAATCCAGGCTGCAGGAAAAGTCTCAGGCCAGAAAGTGGCAGTGAGGTATTTCAAAGAGCAATGTGAGTTGCAGGACAGGAATGGGGCCTGACTGTACTTTGACCCAGAGAGTCCACTGCTCGGATTTTATCCAAAATAGAGAGTCAAGGATATGAGTAAAGATTTAGCAAAAATATTTACAAAAACTTTATAATGGTAAAAGTTAGAAACAATAATATTTAAAAATAGAGGACTGGCAAAGTAAATGCAATGTCTTCCAATAAATACCAGAATATCTTGAAACTAGATATTGTTGGGAGCCACTGAAGTTGGAAACCGATCCTACGTGAGAAAGCAGGACAAGGCCAGAGTGCCTAAAGCAGTCAAGCTATCTCAGTCTTTTTTTTTTTTTTCAGTCTATTTATTTATTTATTATTTGGTACAGGGTCTTGCTATGCAGTTCAGACTCATAGTGATCCTCCTGTCTCAACCTTCCTACCACTGTGATTACAGGCACACATCACCACGCCTGGTTTCAGTGACCAGCTTGGCACAGGGCAAGGCAGGTACTTAGACTGTCAAGCTATCTCCCCAGCCCCAAACTACCTCAGTCTTAAGAAAAACATCCTGCCTGGTCAATTTTGGCTATTAGTGGCTAGGCAACCTTGTATCTTCTGATACCAACTTTGCAAAGTTATAGATAAAGGCCCATACTATTGTTCCTGGGGTCCTCTGCCCATCAGGCATGGTCTACCACCTGACCCAGCTGTCATCTTCTTGCCTATCTTTTCCTTATTTCTGCAGCTGATTCTCTCTGGGGTACCCAAGACACCTATAGATATTGTGGTTCATTCTAAAATCTAGTACTCTGAGAAATTGAGGCAGGAGGATCAAAAGAATCGCATGCTTGAAGCTTAAGCCCAGCTTTGTAATTTAGCAACACTAACCAAAATAAAAAGTTTAAAAAGAGATGGAGATGATGTAGGTAATGGTAGAGGCCCTGGGGTTAATCCCTAGTCCCACAAACAAACAAACAAATAGATCTTGAATATTATCAGAGATATGCTATGGTGTAGAAAGCTATTTAAAGCACTTGTTTAGCTTTAAGAGGGATATTAGAAAATAGAACATATGTTACAATCCCGTTGAAGGGAGGGAAGGAGGAAGAGAGCGAGAAAGAGAGAGAGAACATGTTTTAAAAGATGAACAGGGGCCAGGGAGATGCCTCAGTAGAATAAGCGCTTGCCTGGCAAGCACAAGGGCCTGAGTTCAACCCCTGGTTCCGCAAAAAAAAAAAAAAAAAAAAAAAAGAGCAATTTTGCTAAGTGTGGTGGCACATGCCTGTAATCCCAGCACTCAGGAGGCTGAGACAGGAGGCTGAGAAAGGAGGCTCACCATGAATTCAAGGTCAACCTGGGCTAGTGAGTTCAAGGCCAGCCAGAACTACACAGCAAAATCCTGTATTAAAAAACCAAAAACAACAACAAAAATTATTGTGCAGTAATGGAAGAACAGATCTTTTTTTTTTTTTTTTTTTTTTTTTTGGTCTGTTTGTATTTTCTTAATTTTCTAGTGATCATTTTGAAAGGTAAGGATAATAAAGAGTTTCTTTGTTTAGAATGGTCTGGTAAGCATATTTTTCCCCACGTATTTTCCCTTCCTTCTTAAGATCCTATTAAAAGAGTAGCAATGGAGGAAAATTAATAAAAGAATTACATCTACTCTAAGTAAATGAAGTGTTTCTACAAATGGTGATGGGCCTCTATGGGCTATAGAAGACAATAAACGTGACACACAGTGAAAGAAGAGGCAAAGAGAGCCCAGAAATCTCCTGAAGAGGGTCTGAAGACACTGCCTATGGACACCAAGGGCTGCCAGTGTGGGCACTGTACTCCAGATGAAGGGCCGGCTGCCCCAACAGGCACCCGGCAGTCACCCTTTAATCTTGGCAAGAAAAGATCCCACCACCACACAGAAGGAGAACCCATACCAGCCTCCCCAGGTCACCAACATGGGACAAGAACCCATAACCCAAAGCAAATCCCTGCATACATAGAAATGGAACAACCTGCAGGAAGGACCAAAGAAATCTGGATGGAAGAAAAATTTGTAGAAACACTAATTAGTAGCCCCAGGAATAGCCAAGAAGAATATTGTATGTATAAAATCAATCCAGGGGCTGGTGAGATGGCTCAGTGGTCTAAAGCACCTATTTAGAACAAGCTTAGCAAAGCACAGGGACCACGGTTCAATCCCCCAGCACCACATGCCAGCCAGCCCCGCCCCCTGGTGGGCTGAGCTGGCCACACACACACACACACACACACACACACACACACACACATAAATAAAATTTTAAAAAATGCTTTAAAAAAAAGAATGTATGGTATTAAATTTTAAAAATAAATAAATAAAATAAAATCAACCCATATAAGAATCCATGGGGAAAAAATCATATGGTTAGAAATTTAAAGTTTGATCATTAAAATTAAAAAGGTAATAGATCTATGTTATGGTTTGGATCAAAAATATTCCTGAGGGCCAGCAAGATAATTCAGTGGATTAAGTGCCTGCTTAGGCAAACGCAGGAACGGGATTAGATCCTGACATCACATGTTGTGCCAGCTGTGCCACTGGGCATGCTGAACCGGCCACCAAGACTGGGTGTGGTGGCGCATGCAGGTAATCCCAACACTGGGGAGGCTGAAAACAAAAGAATTACTACCAGTCTGGGCTGCGTAGTGAGACTCTATACCAAATGCATTAAAAAAAAAAAAAAACCAAAGATTCCCCAGAGGGCTCATAGATTCAGAATTGGGGATTGTGGAAGGTGATTACAGGGCACTAGCTCAGCAGTGGATCAGTCCATGAGGGGCAGGCTCACTGCAGACTCACCTCTGAGGATGTACCTCTGTCTCGGGCTCTTTTCCTGCTTCCTATGCTTTTGGCTGCTCTGCGGTGAACACCTTGCCTCTATATGATGGTCTAACTATGGGGTGTTCCCTCAAAACTTCCTGTGTTTGGACGGTGATCAGGTCATGGGGGTGCGATGATTCTTGGAGCTAAACATGCCACTAGAGGGTCGGGTCTTGTTTGACAGGCAGTCACTGTGGGTGTGACCTGGAAGGGCTTGCCTCCCTCCCGCTGCTCCTCCCTTCACTCTCTGCTTTCTGACCACCATGACAGGAGCAGCCCTCCTCTGTGCCAGGCCACCACATACCACTTCTGAATTTCATCCTGCAACCATGGACTGGAACCTCTGACCAGGAGAGTGAAATCAACTTTTCTCCTACAAGTTTTCCATGTCAGGTGTTTTTTCCAGTGCCAAAAAAAAAAAAAAAAAAAAAAAAAAAGCTGACCAGTATAGTCCAAAAGACAACATTAGGTAAATGTCCACGCATTTAGAATAGATAGGTAAGGGTAGAACATTTACATGAAATCAAAGATATCTTGGAGTTACAATAGACAACTAACACAAGTTCCAAAAAGAAAAAGAAAATAAGGTAAATTCCCCAAGCTGAAGACACAGGTATTTAATCATAAATATTCCACCAAGTATCTAGCGCAAAGAATGAAGAAATAAATCTATATCTAAATGGATCATTGTGCATATTCAGGCGACAACTTAAATGCTGCCAAATATAAACAGAGCACTGACCTAGGGACAAAAATTGGACCAGCATCACACTTCCTATCAGCAATACTGAATGCTGAAAAATGCGGACACTGATCTCAAAACTCTGAGTGAAAATTACCTTTGAACTAGAATTTTGGCCAGATTACCACGTAAGTGAAAATAAAGTGAATCAGTCAAGAATTTAGAAACTACCACCCGTATATCCCTTTGGGGAAGACTACTACAGTACGTACTCCAGCAAAATGAAGGTGTAAACCATGAAGGAATAGAGCATGAGATTTCAAAAAAAAAAAAATAATGGTGGTCGCTCAGGATGAAATGAAGCAGAGAAAGC